TTTGGGGGGGGGGGGGGGGGGGGGGGCACTCGTGAGCGTACAGCAAAAAACTACTGTTGAGTAGCGGGGCTGAGGACGGCCAGGTGTCATGTAAGCTGGGAGGAGCTGGTGAGGAAAGATGTGACTCCTGCATCGTGACATCTCCTGTCAATCTATACGCAGAGTTTTGCTGGGACCGGCAGCAAGCCGGTGGGGCACGCGCTGCTCTGCGTCCTCACGCATCGTACGACTCTTTCCCCAGCGAGGCCCGGCCACATCACGGCGTAACGACGTGCGAATGCACGCAGGGCAGCGGCCGGTTTAGGGAAGGACAAGAGGTGGCGTCGGGCGACGGCACGCCATGGCGTGTCTTGCGACGGGCGGAAAAAACGAGTGCAGTTCTGCAAATAAAGACAGGCCATATGCAAAGCACACGACCCTCAGAGCGACAGGCAGAGGGCGTCACCAAAAAACGACAGCGCGCATACTTGTCATCTTTCTAGGTGGGCTCTCGCCGAGTCGCATATTTTTTTTTGACGCGCTGATGACGCCACGGTGGGAGGCGTTTTGGGCAGCGCTCGTGTCGTCTATGCCCTACGCCTGTTCCGTGGTTCTGGCAGCACATAGCAACGAGCACCGCTGCGCAAGATGTAGATTTTATTCACCACTTTGCCCACCTCGTCCGCGCCATCGTGGCCGGCCTACGTAGCGAGGCGTTTGCGCGCGCCCGTGCCGCTCCTTGTGCCCGATGTGAGGTGCCCATTATTCACGACGCCAAGGACATGCTCTCGCTACTGACCCGGCTTTCGCGCAGCCTCCAACCACAACCGGGCATGTCGCGGAGATGCCTTATCCGTCGCCGTCGATGTTTCATAGATGTTGCTACCTATCACGGCCCTTCATTTGCTCTCTGTTTAGTCTTACGACCAAGCTAACAGACGTTCTTACGACCGAGGGGGACCACCGCCAGGGCACAACAAATCACTTCCACCCATCCTGTGACGGGGCTGGCGGATGTTTTACCCCCCGGCTGGTTCGGCAGGGCGCCTTCGTTTGGACAAAAGGAGGAGGTTAGACTGTCATTTCGGGATGCACGTTTGCGAAAAGCTTGCCACGTTTAAAGAAACCTTTGTCCGTTCCGCGCCCAGTTCTCACGATCTTAACTTTGTAGACATACTCCACTGAACACTGCACCGTCCTCGCATTTCGTTAACCAAACCGGTCACGAATCTTGGCGGAATACTGAGGGCAGCGGCGAAGCGTCAAAACGGCATGCGAACCTGGAGCTGCGAACCTGGAGCGCGAACCTGGAGCGTTTCGACGATGCAGCTCCACCAAGGCCACACTGTACAGTCGGTATCGCAGGAGACGCGCACACAAATGATATCAAGATAAAATTCCAAAAAAATAAACAAAAACCAATCACGCTGCACACCAATCACGCCGCCCCGGCTGGAGGTCCTCCGGGGCGTCGAGGCCTTACTGACCGCACGGCCGAACTCGTCCATTCCGAAACGCGCCCAGTTTGACCCCGCTGCCTCACCCCCGTCCTCCTGACCTTCTGGTGCCCCGTTTGAGCCCTCCTCTCCATTCCCCGCCTTCTCTGCGTCGAGGAAACCTTTCACTATGTCAGGCGTGTTGTTCAGCGACACGTTTGATCTTGAGACTATCGACTACGACCCCGTCACAAATAAGAAGGAAAAGAAGTTTGACAAAGGTAACAATACCGATTCCTGTTTCCCTCTCCCACTTGAGGCTCGCGAACCTGTGTTCTGTAATCCGAAAAAGTGAGCATTGTAACCTTTCTCACAGAGACTGACTAAACGATAAACCGCCGCGCGCACATTGTGCCACCCAGTATCCCGAATCGATGCGAAAAGCGAAAATTACGACACTGAAGTGACGCTTGACATCAACTCTGAAATTTACCCCATGAAGGAAGGGCACAAGTTTGAGATTCTGCTCGCCGATCGCTTGTACGAGGATGCGGCGGATGAAAGCGAAATGCCTGGGTATGACCCGAGCCGCGAATTGGACTCGCGAGCGGATACTTTCGAGTACATCATGCATGGAAAGATTTTCAAGTATGCGGAAGAAAAGTCTAGAGCGTAAGCTTCACGTCACCATCTTCTACTCTAATTGCTACGTTTGCGTCGAGCATGGATAGATCCTAACGTCAGTTCTTATCCTTCATTCGCGGATTGCATCTCACAGAGTTGTGTACGCGTCGTTTGGGGGGTTGCTAATGGCACTGAAGGGGGAGACGCGAATTCTGCCGTCGCATTCTTTCAGACTAGACTCAGAAGTCTACCTGTTTATGAAGAGAGTGTAGAACCGCACCCAACGGTAGACGAAAATCGCACGCCCTTCGAACCTAAGGGCGCTGTACAGAGACACTAGCTAAACGGTAAAACAAAACGCCCTAGACACGTTGAAAGCGGGCCCCAAAGCCGCTCGAATCGTATGCGACGAGGCAAACCTACGACCATCCGAGCTACGGATCCGAGGCGCGCAAGGTGTTTATGGGTCTGTTACGTGTGGCTTATCCTAGGTTGAGACGGAAGATGTCGTTGTGGACCCAAAAGTTGTTGGGGCTAGCCGGATCGGGGAGCAGATGGAAGCACTGAGCAAATTTCATTGGGTTGACGTTGTCGTCGATGACGAGGTTGCCGCTCACCGAAATCAGGATGCCGTTCGGCTGCACGGCCATCGTCGGCTGGCAATCACACGTGACGATTTCGTGCTTGACGCGCTGGAAGGGGAGCTCCTGGCGGGCGGGAGGAAGCGAGGGAAGGCATTTGTCAGAAGGCGGAGATGAGGAGGCGCGCGATGGGCGGCGGGAGGGGGGAAGGGACTTTAAACAACGTACGACGAGCTTGTTCACGATCGCTTGTGCGCCCATGAACTGCGAGCCCTCGAATGAAAGCATGCTTTGCTCCCGCTGTGTGATGTGCAAGCACGAGAAGAAACAGGGGCTGTCAGTTGGATGTCACGGATGGGCGGCATGAGCGCTCGCACAGAGTGCCGGAAGGTCGAGCAGGGCCGGATCGGGGTGAGATGAGGAGAGGGTGGGGCTTACGTAAAGCGGTAGGAGCTGGCTGCGATTGGAATCGAAGAGGCTGTAATACGTCTTCGTGAAGGCCTCTCCGACGGACTGAAAACTGGTCGTCATTTGGACGAGATGGGACGAAAGGCACGTGGAAGGTGTTTGAGGGCCCGCGGTCGGCGAAAGGCGATTGGCGACGGGGTTTGATAGTGGAATGCGCGGGGTGCGGGCAAGTCGGGGGAGGGGGGTGGGGATGAGGTGACGTTGTGGTATTCGGGGAAGACGGTTTAGGATCGGGGTGCTGGACCGTGCTGTATTTGAACCAGTCTAGATTAAAGTTTAATCATTAAACCCGGTCGGATCCGATGTCTAATCCACGTGTACACGTGCCCGTCGTGGCATTGGCGGAGATGCAGCTCTGCCCACGGCGCTTCTGATCTTCTTGGTCGTGACGTTGACATACATGATACGCCTCGCGAAGATCGTCCGCCGCCTCCCCTGTTTGAGGTTTCGCAAGCAACGAGGCAACGCCAAGCACGTAGAGAGCGAAGGGGAGGAAGCGTGAATCACGTCTTCCGTCATCGCCCCTTCTCGACAGCCGTACCTCGAAGCCCGCCAAGCATCAACCTATTAACCGCACTTGCGTCACTTCCCCGGCCCCCTGCTGCCCGACCGAACCTAACTCGGAAGCGTCCCTTCCGAATCCCCTCACCCACCGCCTACTTCACCCCTCGTATCCAACATGCCGCCCGCCTTCATTTCTTCCTTCGCAGGAACCCCCTTTTCCTCGCACCGCTCCCACCTCACCCATTTCCGCCACCGCCTCCGTCCGACCCTTCCATGCCACCCTTCGCCACCACGGCGCGCCCTCTCTACGCGCATGTCCTCCACGCCTCGCTCGGACGCGTCGCTCCCCGCTCCCTCCGCCTCCGCCTCCGCCTCCGCCTCCGCCTCTCTGCGCCGCTTCAAGCTCACACGCTGGTCGGTTTTCATCGGCATGGCGCTAACCTACGCCACCTACGTCTTCCTGCGGGCGACCTTCACCTACGTCGCCCCGATGCTGGCCTCGCACCTGGATCTGTCGCTGGCCAGCGTGGGCAAGATCTCGTCGGCCTTCCCGATCGCGTACGGCTTCTCGCGCCTCTTCACGGGCGTGCTGGTAGACTCGGCCTCTCCGCGCGTCGCCCTGGGCGCCGGCCTGCTGCTCGCTGGCCTGGTCAACATCGGCATGGGCTACGCAAGCACGGTCCCCGTGCTGGCCGCCCTGTGGGCCCTCAACGGGCTCGTGCAGGGCGCCGGCGCCGGCGCGTCCGCCAAGATGATCACGTCCTGGTTCTCGAGGAAGGAGCGCGGCTTCTTCTGGGCCCTGTGGAGCACCTCGGCAAACGTCGGAGGCTTTTTTGCCCCCATTCTGTGCGCCGCGCTGGCGTCGAGTCAGATGGGATTTCGCGCGGGCATGGCCGTGCCCGGCGCTTTCGCCGTCGTGCTTGCGTTGCTGAGTACGCCGCTCATGCGGTCGTCGCCGGAGGGGGCGGGGCTGAAGCCGCCGTGGGATGATGCAGATGGGAAGGCCGAGGAGAAGGGGAAAGATGCGGGGGAGAAGGTTTCGTGGCGGGAGGCGTTTGTCGAGGGCGTGATAAAAAACAAGACAATTTGGGGGCTCGCTGTGTCCTATTTCTTTGTATATCTGGTACGGAGCGGGATGAAGAGTTGGTTGCACTTCTGGTTGTTGGAGGCGCGGTCAATAAGCGCTGCGGAGGCGGCGTACCGGGTTAGTGGAATGGAGGTCGGTGGCATTTTGGGGACGTTCTCAGCAGGAGTGGTTTCCGACGCTATGGACGGGCGTCGCGTAGCTGTGACGGTGGGGTATTTGCTTGGGCTGATCGGCGCGCTAGTTGCAACATGGTTGATTCCGGGCGGAAAACCGTTCCTCGATTTTGCTGTGATCTCCGTTTTGGGCTTTATGATCAACGGACCGCAAATGATGATAGGCCTCATCGGCGCGGAAGTCTCGGATAAGAGGGTCGTTGCCACGGCGACAGGTGTGCTCGGGTGGATTTCGTATCTGGGGGCGGCCGCATCTGGCTTTCCCCTCTCGCTCGCTATTCGGAAGTTCGGTTGGGTTGGGTTTTTCGCGGCACTTTTAGGCAGCAGCATTCTGGCGTTGGTGTGCCTTCTGCCCTTTTGGAAGTTAAAAGCCGAGAGTTCGAACTAGGCCGTCAACGTGACGCCTCAAGAGGTGCCGATTATACAGAGAGCTATAAAAGCGTTAAGGCCCATACGCAGATGCACGCTGTACATCCACAATATTTCGAAATCCGTAGTGAGTCTTGGAATTTCTCGTTTTTGCCATTTGTTTGGAATTGATCTATATAGTGTGCGTTGTGGAAAACGGATCTGAAGTGGTTTTGGCAGTCTTGCACTGCAGTGAACCTGTGTGCTAGAAAAAAGAGAAACCTTCCTCAACCCTAGATCTTGCTCTAGACAGGGACACTATCGGAACGGAAGACTGCGATAGCTTTTCAATGTGCACTTATCCTGAAAGAGAGGAGAGCACCATGCAGATGATTTGTGTACGCGAGTTTGCGCATGATCCAAAACAGCTGTTTGAGTCCAATTCCGTACTGAGGAACATACATCGAGCTAAATATATCTTATTGACATCAGCAGGGTTGAAACAGGTCCTGTGCTTAGAACATTCTACATCTCAGCCGTTGACATTCTTTCTCCTCCCAAGGCAGTCTCAAGTGCCTGCCATTCTACTAAAGTATCTTTCCATTTTATGTAAGCGTTCTTGCACTGCAAAGCGAACACCTACATCCTGCTTGCGAGATTTTTAAAACATGGAAGACTTTGCACGTATTGATGAGCGATGGGCTACTACATATTGAATCATTCCGAAAGTATGTCGCATTCACTCTGTGAGCTCTTAGTTCACATCTGCTCCGGTCCTGTATAGTGCAGTCGCAAGCGGTACATTAGTATATTTGTATTTCTTCGCAGTCGACTTTTCACAAGAGGTCCCAGAGGCATTCGCTCTTCTTATCAACAGAAAATGCATCGTGCAAATTAGGAGCTATCTCGGAACGCGATTTTCGATGCTCCTTCTGGTTCACCCTTTGCATCGTACACCACACAGTTAAGTAGAAGAACTTGAGCTATTCCTTCAATTTTTGTAGGGTGTACTCTTTCAATACTTCCCGAATTGAAACCCAAAAATACCGAACTGGCCTTTCGATCACGGCTGCTTCATGTATTGAAATATTGACATTCTCTACCCTTATTTGGGAAGAACTGCGACGTAAAAAGTAGCCTAGTGGCAGAGAATTTTGCAACTCCTGTTCTACTACTTGTGTCTAGGCGATAAGGGATTTGCCACATATGAGGCCAGCTTTTTTTTTTGCAAAAATGTATACATTAAATCGAAACGTTATAAGTCAGTTTGGACGCCATTTCTTTAAGGTACATTCCTTCGGCAGTAACATCTTGCAAAAACATTGGGATAGCAGTTGTGAATAAACAGAAAGAATAAGAATCTACTGAAATTTCAATGCCCGGCTGACATTTTAAACAAGCTTGGTTTCGAAGCTATCAACAGTTTTGAGGTTGGTCAAAAAGGCTTCTTTTTTAGGCATTCTAAAAATGGATGGGAAAGACGTGCAGATCTCACCAAACTTCGTCCTTCCGCAATGCAGAAGTCAACTGCGGTGGCGAGAGTGTCTTTTTCCTTTTTGTTGAGCAAGCGCAAGTCGAGAAAAAAATAATATGAAAAGTATCCTCATATATAAGGACACGTGTCGTCTAGACACTAGAAGTATACCGTAGGTCTTCGACCAAAAACTTATGATAGCAAAAAAGTCGAAAGATATCATCTCCTGCGGTCTAAATTAAGATGCCATGCATTTTGCAATGTGCAGAAAGATGCATCTCCTATCCGCACAATGAAAACCAATGATATTGATATGCCAATAATAAAGAGGTGTTCCCGCGCACATTAAGTCTTGTTATCGATTCCGTTTCTATATTGGCGACTCACCATGCATGATCTCAGAAGGGATTCATAGAATTTCTGGGAAACCCTTTCACCTGCGACGGAATGGAAAGTCATTCTCTCTGTCATATTGTACGGGTGCAGAAGATGATATTTGACGGTTACGTGAGCATTGCAACTTGAAGGTTGTATAGGAGGAATGGAAATGCATACAGAGAGGTCGAGGAAGGCCCGAGGGAAGCGAGTTTGTTACGGCACAACGACATGGAGAAGAATGTACATTGTACGGTCTTTGATAGACATTGTGCACCTCAGACGGCTGCATGTAGAAAATACATGCATGATGTTGAAGCACTGTAGCAGGTCGGTTAGAGTGGGGTGCATTGCGTAAGCTGGGAGAATGAAGGAATTAGAGTTGGTGGTTGGACTTTTTTTTTTCTTTCGCATACTTCGAAAACGCTGGAAATAGCAAAGCAGTCCACAAGGCAGATATACAAGAGATAGTGGTCTGTGAGGGAAAAGAGGAAAAACGTTTTTGATCATGTCAAGTATCACACAAGCGATGGATTGAAATGGCATGTCCGTATTCATGCTCTCGTCAGAGATGCGTTGAACGAATGAGCGTGTTTTCGAATGAAGCGTATGTGTGGATCCTCACCAGTCGGAAACGTTTTATACCATCATCTCGAATGTTTGTGGTGCAGGAGATATTTTATCAAAAGATATGTTACTATGCCTTGTTTTTGCGTTTGCTTTTCTAGTACGGCGTGGGTATTGTAAAATGTGGGACTGCAAGTCGTTAAAAGCAGTAAATGGGGACGGCAAAGTGCAGTCGTACGGCGAGACAGTTCCAGAACACGAGCTGCGGCTAAACGTAACCAAGGTGGGCAAGTAGTATTTGCTGGGTCGAAGTCGGAGAAAGGCGGGCGAGGAACGTGGCGACGTGGTATCACGGCCCAGTGGACCTTTCTTGGAAGGCGAAGGGCGGGAGGGAGGCGGGGCAATTGACGAGAGGACTGTTAAGGTTGGACATGATGCATATATAGAAAGGTAAGAGGTGTAGGAAATGTGATGATGGAAAGAAATTCTATTGGATAGAGGAGAACGGTTTGTATAAACTCTACGATAGAGGGTGATTCAGAGGGCATGTATGCGGCGAAACGGCGTTCGGAGCAGATGCATTGCTCGCGGGTGGACGAGGGGCAGGATGGTTCTCTAACGTCCACCGCGCAGTGTCGGGGCGGTTGCAG